AGGACTAAGTAAATCTTGTTTCTATTGTTATTTTAACAACGATCTATTCAAAATATGAATATATGCAGCAGGTAAAATATAAAAGCCTTTTTCTAAAGGTATTTAATCAAATTTAATCAAATTAAATTAGATCAGTAAATTTTCGTGTTATTATTGCCAAAAGTTTAATAAGCAACATAAACTTGTGCACAGCCATGGACGGTGAAGATCTACAACTTTGCGGTTCATCACGCCTGTCGAAGCTCTGTCACTATTGAAAAAGCAAGATTAAATAATAATAAATAATAACTACCGTTTACCAGAATCGGGTAGTAATAAAGCGATGTATCATGCAAACTTACCAGAAGAAGTTGGGAGAGATATAGTAGCTTATGATGATTCGAAGTATCTCCGATCAATGCCACTATGCACGCAGTAATACAGGATATTCGTTATGCATATTCATGTTCAATTTCATTGACTACATATCTCCGACGCGCGTTTGTTCCGCCGAATAAACGCGGACTCATTTGCAAAAAAAAAAAAATTCGATATCAAATGCCGACTGCTCATACAGAATTCTGCGGTGGCTTGATAATAACTGATTTTTCGAATAGAGACTGAAAGATGCGCACAAGAAATTCATCCTCCGAAAAATTGTCGATGTGAGTTTACTGCTTGAGATCTGAATTACGTTAAAAAAATAAAAGGAAGATCACATCGAGAGTCACATCTCATGCTTAGAGGAATAGATCACGTCAATCATCTTCTAGGGGCAAGGGACGGGGAGTTAAGAGGCATCCAAATAATACTAACAAAATTAGACAATCAATAAAAAAAATGAACCAACTCGATGCAAAATAATGTAGTTGAATGAATACGACGAGGTGTTGCATTTCACAATGTAACGTGCTACGACTCTATCTCAAACGGTGTCAAGCCGCAAAGTGGATTTACGATCGAGGCACGTAACAGCTTCTCATCGTACATTCCTCTTGCAGAAAAATGGGCAGGCAGAGATAAAGTGACGCAAGATACGTGAATCGAAAACTAAAACTTTCTAGGCCTCCGCTTTCCTATCCATTCTCCTTCACATTGTTTACTTTTATACACGACACACGTTTCTTCGACATGCACTTATCAACCTCATACAATTCAAAATACAGAAGCAACTGTAATACAGAGATTATGAATGATCACTCGTATTATCGTTGATTATTCATAATTAACGTTCGTAACTTCTGGCATTTACGTATCATCAAAATATAAATAGAGAAATGGCAGAGGTAGAAAAGCAAACACAGTGACAGTCCACGAAAACGCATAATGCACCGTCGATCGACTCGAGTCGCGGCCGCACTCAAAACTCCAAACTCAAGTGTGTCACAGCATCACACGAACGGCAAAAATAGAAAATTGAGAAAAATTTCGTTATTTACCCAATAATAAGAGGGGGCGTGCATGTGAAGGGGATACGAGCACGGGAGGTCCTCCTTTTGCCTCAAATTCTCAAATATCGGCATCAGCTGGCTCATAAACTCCTCCGCTACACCACAAACGAAAATCTTTAGCTTCCTCATGCAATCGTAGCGGCCCCTTTTTATCAGGAGGCTCACTCCAACGAGTGAAAAATATTCCTGAAACGAACAGCTATCTCCGCGCTAAACTGACACGTGAATCCAATGTGTTTCCCTTCTGAGCGCAACGGTTGATTCGGGTCGCAAAATTAAAAAAAATTCTCTTTTCAAATATCTAATGTGTGACGTTGGTTTTCTCACAGGATTTCTCAGGAATGAGTGATTTTATGGAGTTGGGAGGTCCATTCTCATCCCGTTGTGTCGCAAAGCAACGGGGAACAGGAAGGATTTGCGGAGAAGATAGGCAAGAAATGTACGAAATCGCATCTCCTGAGGTCAAACGAAGAAACTGAGACGCAGACGCCAGACGGGTCTGTCTGGCTTTTAGTTGGTATATAAAACTCAAACTGTTTTGACAAGACCGACCAGTGATGAGAGTAGACAAGCGTCATCTATTTCTAATTGCCTGCTACATATTCAAACAATGCCTGAAAACTGCCATGCTCATGCGAACGTCAAAGGAGACTAGGCTGACTGAATGCGAAGAAGATAGAAATGGCATACTTACAGAAATCATCGAGGAGACCATAAATCGATAGAGTTGTCCAGGTAAGAGTTGTACGTGCAATTTAATTTTCCTGTTACGACGCCACAACGGCGCCCGAGGTCTAATATAAAAGTTCACGAATACTCTCTACGGGTTCGATTTACAATTTAAATAACGGCAGAGAAGTAAAAGACTCGGTGAGAATGAGTACCGTACGTGCTACTCGTCGCATTTGAGGGATTTGCACGACCGGTCAGAAGATCCTGCTTACCTTGGTGATCGGTCCGGCATTAGTGGAGGACATTTGCGTACGCTGCAGCGTCGAGGTCGGGCTCGGCTTGGACCGGAAGGCCGTCATAGTCTGGCTAACACCGTCCGCCAGTATGAATTGCTCCCGCAGCTCAATATTCGTTCTTCCCTTGGCTACAGTGTGTTGCGTGCACGCAGTTAGGGAAAAGGCGTTTAGGGGATGCGGGGGATACGAGAGGAGGTGCCAGAGAGATGTTAGTTTGTACAAGAAAACAATCCGGAGGCGACGTGAGCGGAAAACGGATGACGTTGAGATGAGATAACGACGTACGCGAGAACCATGTGTGTACCGTGTGTACCATGTTGAATTTAAAGAAAAAAAAAAAAAAAAG